ACTAAAAAGAAAGAAGAGTGAGGGATGAGAGTGTGGAAAGGAGATAGACAAGACAGAAATTATAAAGTTAAAGCTGGGTACTTTAACTGTCAGTGTGTAAGAAAAATGGAGGCTGATCAATATTTTAGGAAAAGACAGGACACCTTGGCATCAATGTCTCTTAGTGATAACTGAGGAAGGTAAGGGGTCTCTAGTTCTCTCCATCAGACATACTCATACCTATTCATTGCCCTTTTCTCTTTCCTTCTTTCCCTTCCTGTTTCTCTCTCCAGACTTTTTCATCTACCCTTTTTCTCCCTCACTTTTCCATTTACTTTTCTTTCTTTTTTTAAAGATTTTTATTGGGGAATTGGGGGAAGGGGAACAGACAAGTTGCTGTCCTTTTGTTCTTCAGTCTAGTTGTGGAGGACGTTGCTTCACTGGCCCAAGTTGGCACCATCATTGTGCTCTTCCACGGTGAGGCAGATCAGTCGCCGGCTTCTGGACGGCCGCTCACAGTGGCTTGAGGGCCAATCACGCTGGCTGCTGGCTACATACGGTAGCCCATAGCAACCCACTGCAGCAGGGCTGCAGCCTATGCCATCGCCAGCGACTCACGGCAGCCCAGCTCCAGGTCGAGCTGTTGTTCAGCATCTTAGCTGTAGAGGGCAGCGTCACTGGCCCTCATATGTGGGATCCGAACCAGGGCCCTCTGGCGTCCCAAGCCAGCTCTTAACCATCGCGCCACTATGCCGGCCCGCCATTTACTTTTCTTTAATGCTCCTTCTGTCCTCCTCCCATGCCCTAAGCCAGCCTGTCATTTGGTTGCCAAACATTTATTGGGGTTTACTCTTGCCCAGCATTAGACTAGGTGTAGAGAGCCAAGGAAAACTGAACATAGCCCCTGTCCCTGAGGGACTCATAGTCTGAAGAGAAAAAGGACAAGCAAGTACAATAAATGGCCAACATATGGTCTTATGTAAATGGTGATGATGGAGTTTCCGAGGGTGCTACGAGAACACATTGGAGGAATCAGACCATCAGGGGAGGCTTCCTGGTGGAGGCAGCACTGGAGTTGAGAGTTGGAGGACAGACAGGAGCGAGGTGACCATGGTGAAGTCAGGGAGAGGAGGCGTTCCAGCCCGAAGGAGCAGTATGTACAAAAACTTGGAAGTAAGAGAATTGTAGAGTTATTCAGGAAACTGCAAGTCATTCAGAAAAATGGAGACAAAAGAGTTCAAAGTGACATGGGGGAACGTTGAGGCTGAGTTGTCCGTAGGGGCCAGCCACGGAAGGCCACATGGGGCATACTAAGGACTCTGGACCTTATCTGTGACTTTCTGATTTAGTTTGTATTTTAGAAAGTCCAATCTTGCTGCAATGTAGATAACAACTTGGAAACAGGTAGGATGATCAGTGGGCAAGCCAGAGCAGCCCTCTAGGAAGGATGGTGGTGTGCGCCTGATCAGGTGATAAAAATGGAATCAGGAGGCAGAGAAAGGGAAGTCGCAGGAATTGGTGTCCCATTAATAGGTTCAGCATCAGAGACCACTCTCAAAGCCTGAGAGGGTTACGCACGCAGTCTTGGCTCCAACTTGAGCAAGGAAAATTCTAAGAGGAAAGCTTCCAGGATCAATTGAGTGGATGGGAGTAGAATTTCAAATGACCAAGTTTAGGTTATCACCGACTGGGTGTTTTTTTCTCGCTAATGAGTTCAGGAATGTGGGCTAAAAGGATGTGCCTAAGATGGTCTCGAGGCACCTTCCAAGGGAGGGGGTCAACTGTTAAGCCAGTTTCTTATGCGCTTTCAAGTTTCAGGGCAATGTCCAGTCTTACCGGCAGGGGGCAGCACCACAACTCACAGAAATCAAAGGGTGAAATCCTTTGCAACCCAAGCCCCAACCGAAAAAAGAGACTTTTTGGTGATTAATTTGTGCATTCCAAAGTGACTGATGTGGCCAGTTTGTCATTAGCAAGTTTTGCTACAGTTACAGTCATACCAAGGTGACTTTTACTTCACAACTTGCCTCTTAACTCCCTATTTTTTTTTGTTATTATACATTAGCTACACACACATTCAAAATATTACTGCCTCTAGTGTGTTTATTTTCTCTGCATGGAAAGATCTTGGGCAGGGTTCTCTCAGGTTTCTGAGTCTGTGTCTGTAGAAAATAATTTTGTAATCGAAAAGACAATATAACATGTTGAAGTGTTCTTTTAAGTCACCCGCAATTGCTTCAACACAATTGGTGTTTTCACTTTTAAATGTTCTCTTCCAAATCTGGTCCATATGCACATATTTTTGCACAGACATATTCAGAGTCTGTTTTTATCAATGTTGCATTTTAAAAGGAAGTGCATAATTTTTTCTTCTGTTCTCTTTGGCATCTAGTCTCTTCTGAGATCTCACCCACTTCCTTAGCTTCACATATAACATTGCACAGAAAGGCAGCCACGTCTTTATCTCTCGTCAACCCGTTATTTATTTGCTTATCCACCCATCCATTTATTCATTCCATGTACTGTGCTGGGGGTTGGAAATGCAACCGTGAAAAGGTGTCTGGAAGCTTGTAGAACTTGGGGTGGGGTGGGAATGGGGAGTCAACAAAGCTATAATGCGATTGGTGGGAATTTGAGGGAAGAAACCCTAAAACTGAGTTGGGGGCCTAAAGAAAGGGAAGAAGCCAATTGAGCAGAGGAAACTGGGCGTGCTAAGATATGGACACTCAAAAGATCATGGCCCCTCCCGGAAACCACAGTGGTTTAGTATTGGTGGAGTATGTGTTGGCTGGAGACAGAGGATGCGGCTGGCAGGCAGGGACCAGATCCACAAGGGTCTTGCAAAGGACATGAGACATTGATAAATATCTCTCCCGAAATGCTTTTTTTCCTCTTAGGCTAACCAGGGTCTCAGCCTAAACTTCCCTTCTCAGCCTTTTCTGATCCTGGACTAGGTCAGGTCCACTGCTATATGTTTCCAAAGCTGCGAGTACTACAGGTGCTATATTCTAAGAGGTATATCTTCCCCTTTAGGCTTCAAGCTCTGTGGTGGGCTATCCTGCTCTCTACAGAGTAGATGCTCACTTAATGCTGTGGCAGGGACGAACCGAAGCATTGAGCTTTTCAACAGCATGCCAAATATTTCTACGTGCATGTCTCCTGGAACGATTAACTCTGCATTTCTAAAACAGGGCATCATCATCTCCTCAGCTGCCCCTTCCCTGCACACCCCCTTTTAATCCCCTCTCACACACACACCACCCCAGCCCTGTCAGCTACCCTTTTGACTAGCAAATTTCTCTGTTAATTTTCCCACTCAAAACAAAGAACTGCAACTCTTCCCTCACTTCCTCCTCCTCTCGGCTCAGCAGCTAGGCCCTTCCCTTTCAGTTCTATTTTTTTTCTGGCCATCATTCTAGAACAAAGTATCATAGTGGGAAAAATATGGTTTTTAGAACAAGAAAGGCCTAGGTTCAAATCTTGGGTCTACTATATTTGGGTTTCCCTGAGTAAGTTAGTAATCTCTCTAAGCCTCAGTTTCTGACTCTGTAAAATGGGGGATATTATCCACCCTGTAGAAACAGTTACTTTAGTACACGTCAGGTGGTTAAATAAATGGTCCTCTTGTTATTTTCACAGCATATCAGACATCTCCTGCTTAAAAACCTTCAGAGGTCTCATATCACTTGCCAACAAAACCTAAGCCATACATTTTGGCCTTGTCTCTCATAACTCCCCCCACTAAATCCTAAACTCTGGCCAATCTAAAATATTGGCTGATTTGGTCACTCTTTCCTCCTTGCTTTCCGGTTGCAGGTCTAACACCAACTCCTCCCTGAGTACCTGAGCATCACGTCACTGGCTCCCTCCTCTGCAGTGCTATATGTACTTCAGTGGCACTCAGAGCAGCTGTTTTGCCTTGCAGCCTAGGCAACTCTCCTCTAGATTATAAACTGTTGGAAGCAGTGGCTTTATCAGGTTACCGTGCATAGCTCCTTGCGTGTAGTTGATGCTCAATAAATACTTGGTGAAAGAAAATTCATTTTCCTTATCTTGATGGGCTTGTTTTTTTCTATAGAATCAAATGTTTGTTTATTCTCACTTCAACGCTATTTTGTTGGCTTTCGGAGAGCACATTTCCATTAAATGCGTTCTGTTTTTTAATTGGAAAGAGCTTTTGGAACTGAAAAATAAGTTACTTCTCCAAGCCTTAGCTGCCACTCCCCCGTACTCACCCTGCCTAGTACAGGAATCGAACTACTTAGCATTGCTCAGAACACGAGTCTCTCACGCCTCCGTTCCTTTGTACGTGTGTGCAGTTCCCTTCGCCTGGAACGCCCTCACCGCTTCTCCGTCTGGCGAACTCCTACTCATCCTCCAAGACTCAGCTCAGACATCACATCATCTTCTCTGGGACCGCTTTTCTGAGATGGACCGAGTAACGGCCTCCCCCCTTTCTTTTATCTTCTCTAGCATTCTCCAAATAATTTTAACAACACTTGTGGCGCTATTTGTTTACTTTTCCTCTACCCCTCTAGACCGTGAATTTCTTGAGGGCCAGGATTTCTGTTCGTCCTTGTACCTTCTATACTTAACACAGTGCTTAGCACATATTAGGCACTTGATTCAATCAATGAACAAACGAATCTATTAATTATTTAACGTTGCAGAGTTTGTTTGGACCAGAGTCTCAAGTATTTCAAGACCTATTTGGGGTACTTCATGCTGGGGGCAGATTCTCCTCCACTCCCCGCGTTGACTTGATTTGGTGGAAGGGGAAGGGAAGTGATTAGGGTGTGCATTTCCTTCAAGGTTGAGCTGCAATTTTCCCGCTCTGGCACCGAGCGGGTTACAGCGACTCGGGGGCGGAGCCGCGCCGGTGCCACCTGCTGCGGGGCGGCCTGGCGCATGCGCCCTGGCGTCGAGAAGGTCTACCTGCGAGGGCTCGGCGGAGGAGGAGCGCTTGCGCTCTGGGCCTTTTCCGCTGGGGCAAGTCTCGCGGGGGCGGGGCGGGGCCGCACGGGGAAGTTCTCGCGGGACCCCGAAGAGGAGCGGAAGCGAGGCGGCTGTGCTGCTTCAGAGACCGGGCGGCGGCGGCGACGACGAGGACTGTGGTGGTGACAGCAGCCGGAACAGGCGCTGCCCTCGGGGAGCAGCAGCAGGGTTGGCGGCGGCTCGCACCGCTGCGGAGGGGCCGGCCGGGCGCGGAGCGGAGCAGCTTCGCCACGGTAAGTGCGGCTGGCGGCGGCGGCGCTGCTCCGGTGCCTTTTCTTCCCCGTTCCGCAGCGGGGGTCGGCCCGCAGGGACCCGGCCCAGCCTACCAAGAGGTGCCGGGCCTGGGGGTCGGGGCAGCAAGGCCTGGGGCGGGAGCGGAATTCGCGGGGCTCTGAGCTCCACGTTTCCTCTTTTGGGGGCGCTTCCTTCCTGGGGAACCGTCCTTCCTCAGCCCTTGGCTCAGGACCGAGCCCCGAACCCCGCGGCAAGGGGACAGGGGCTCCTAATTAAATTTCATGCCGCCGCCTTGAGGGTTTGCGCAGAAAGCATCTGGGAGAAGCCCGAGAGCACCGAGTGCTCATTCTGTGAGTCAGTCTGACTTGGCCCGGAGGCGGGGGATTCGCAGCGGGCTGCAGATGTGGTGATTGATGCTCCTTCGACCTGCACGGCCACCACGTCACCATCTCCTGGTGTCTCTGGGCCGAATTTTGGGAGGGAACTCCACCAACCCTATTAATACCGCGAGGTAGAACGTTTGCTGCCGAAGCCAGTTAGGGTGCCTTCACTTCTGATCCCCTCCCTCTTTTTGAACTATTCTCTGAAAAAATGTTTGTCAAGGAAAATAAGCAGCCCATGGTTGGAATGCTTCGAGGAAAGATTTCAGTGAGAGAGGCGAGAGACGCACTGTTTTTCATTCGTAACGCGCACCGTATGTGATTATGATCCCCGTGACTTACAGCTTGTTCAGGGAGCTCATCTAGGCTGGCTTCAGAGGCTGTAAAACAGTACGATTTGCAGAGGAACTGAAGTGCGCTCGAGATCTGTTGGTAGTGTTGAAGTCTCAGAAAAAGAGTCGAAAAGACACGAGAGAAATTCGTCTTAGCCTCGGGCTTTCTTGTCCGTCTTTCACTTTGTGCTTCTCCCGTTGTTGCCTTCTCTTTCCACTCTTCATTCCACTGCGGACACAAAACGCTTGTGTAATGCAAGTCACTTGCCCCCTCCCCCCACCCTTTTTCTAATCTACTTCCCCTTCCTCATTATTAGTTTCCCCTCTCTGGCATAATTTTTCAAGGTTTTGGAGCACTTCGTTTTCTCCCTCTTTTAAAGATTCCGTTTTCTCCCCCTGGAAGGTACCATCTTTCCTGCTTTATCCTTTACTTTTGCGGGTCCCCTGTGTTCTTCCAGTCAGCCAGAAGGGTTGCTAGAGAGCCATGCGAGACTTAAGTTCTCCCCCTGGGAACTGGGAGGCTCAAAGGATTGAATTCATCCGTGAGTAATCAATACTGCCACTAGGTCACAAGTGGAGCTTGCCTGGTCTCATTTGTGTTTTCGTTGTTTTCTTCATTTTGAGATCATGCTTTTGTGCCTGCTTACACTTTGCTTTCTGTGTCTCTTTTATGTTCGCAAGAGTGGGTCAATTTGGGGTTTGTCTGACTTGGCTTTTTAGTGGGGGGTGGTTAAGGTAAAAAACGAAAACCAACCATAGACTTTTGTTTGTTCTGCTGCCCCTTCCCTTGTTCAAAATTTTCTGAATCCCCAAATAAAAAACAAAGTTAATTCTTGTACTCAGCTTTCTTCCGATACTATAAGCAATCATTTAAATGCTTGAGGCAGTTCACTTTCACAGCAGGTGTATTCAGATTTGAGGGATTATTGGGTCTTAAATACTGCTAGTTGATGGTACTTAGAGATTCTTCTCAGTGGTTCCTGTTACGTTGCATGCGTGCATCAGTTCAAATTGTTACTAGAGCAGAAGAGTAACAGATTTTGGAGAAGTGAAGTAATACAGAATAGAGACCAACCAGCGCTCTCTTGAGAGAAATTATTAATTGCTTAATTCAGAACTTTCTGGCACTACTGAATGACCGTTGAGAGTCTTTGGTTTTCTGTGTGAAAGTTGGCTTTTTCCCAGTTGTGCCAAGTGAACATGCATTATTTTCATTTTATGCCAAGATATCGTGCATTATCTGAGTGGGAAGTTTAAAATCTGGTTAAGGCACCTTATAGTACAGCAGTGATTCTTAAAATGTAGCATGCATAAGAGTTACCTGTGAATCTTATTTAAGGTTAGGTTCTGGGCCTAAGGCCACTACATTGCAGAACTCCAGAAGGCACCCCACAATGACTCAGTCTCTGAATGGGGGGATTTTGATGCAGCTGGTCCAAGGACCAAAACTGTTGTTACAGAAAACAGTCATAAAATCATGAGTCTGGAGTGTGGCTTTAAATTACTCAACTTAAAATTATACTTTCTGTATATACAAAGTAAATATTTAAAAGCCTAATAGAATAAGTCTATAGATGTGATTAGTTTTTATATGTATAACTATTTGAACATTGTTAGGACTGCGACGTGGAGCAATTTAAAGTTTATACTTAATAGGACTGTTAATTTGTCTACCATGGAGTGTTTGTGATGGAAGTTCTAGGTATCCTGTGAAAACATGTGGACTGATATTTGAAAAGGGTCTGGTGATGCTACTTAACACACCTAGCACTTCCTGCCAGAGATTCTGCTTAGGCCTTTCCAGGTGCTCTCTCAATAATCAAAATGACCTTATAAGGTAGATGCTGTTGTTATCCCCATTTACCAGCTGAGGGATACTAGGGGTTAGAGAATATAACTTTTTTTCTCCAGTGTCACCCACGCAGTAAGTGATAAAGTGACAATTGAATCTGGATCTAACTCCAGAGCATCAATAAGATTTTGGTGTTTTTTGTTTGTTTTTTTTCCCCCAACTACATGCTTATAGTAAAAACATTGAAAATACAATTGAGGTGTGTAGTGCAGAGATGAAAAATATTCTGTGATTTCGCTTCCCGAGATAACCATTGTTAACGTTTTGCATTTTTTTCTCTAGCTTCACATTGGTATATTATTTTGCTTTACAGAAATGGATAAACTGTCATTTTTCTGAAGTGTTTTTTTTAACTTGATAATATATCTTGGTACTTATGTAGAAAGCTATTCCATTGATAGGCTCATGGATATTGGTCAGGTATATATATGTATTTTGCATATGATATTTGTGTTACTATTTTAGTGAGATAAATCTGTAAAGTAGAATTGCTTATTCAAGGGTGTGTATTTTAAAATGATCAATAGATACTAAAAATTCCTCTCCAAAAAGATTGGATTAATTCCCTGCTAGAGTTTGGTTTCTAATGGTTTTATTATTATAATCCAGTACCAAGCACATTGTCATAGTAGCTGCTCAAAATGTTAAATGAGTGAACATTGGATAAAGAGTCTGAGAGTCTGTTTACACAGAGTATTGCAGAGACTGGAGATTGTAAATTTTTTCAAAATTTGCCAATTAGTGGATGAAAGAAACCTCATTGTTTTGCAGCTTTAATAGTGAAATTGAACATCTTATATGTTTTAAGCAGAGTCACATTTTAACTTATTTTGAGTGACTTACTGTTGGGCTCTGTCCAAAGCATTTCATGCATATTGTCTGTCTTATCTAATTTAATGTTCAGTGACTCTTATAAAGTAGGTCATATTCTTCCCATTTTGCAGATGAGAAAATCAGGGCTTGTTTAAAAGGCTTGCCCAAAATTACAACTGGTAGCGACCATACAGACTTTAACACTAAGCCATCCTGGCCCAGTAAGTAAGTGTCGGGTATTTTATTTTCTGTGACTTTGGAGAAGAGAGTTAAATAGAAGAACAAAGATAAAATCCTACAAATACTTTTAGGAGACTGCATTTTAGGATACAGTGCGTATTGCCAGAAACGAACAATTCAGGCTGCACTTGCTGCTTGGGATGGGCTGCAGAGGTGTGTGCCGGGAACAGTTGAGACACACTGTCATTAGGCTTGGGTGTTGAGTGTACTCCCAACCCATTTTCTTGGGAAATGAACAGCAACATCTACTCTATTAAAATCATTATACATTGTGTCTACTTCCCCCATTTCTTCCTTTTAGTAATTAGTGTTGCATCTGTGATAGAATTTTTTTGTCTTTAATGAAACACACCCTTTTGAGTATCTCTGGCCTGTGTGCTCTTTTCTGTGGACAGTTGACTAAGCTGACCTCTTCAAGTTTTCTTCATGAGGTATTGATTATGCTTTGTTTTTATTTCTATCAAGCTATAGCTCACAAAGCAGTAGTCACTTGAAACATGATTTTCAAGAGTGTTGGTCTGTTTAAGCTTTCTTGAGGAAACCTGTGGTAGATAAGAAACAGCAGGCCAAGTGTTGAACACTGCCTTGGTTTTTGTGCTATCTGTGGCTGTTAGTTATACTGCAGCGGTCTGAAATCTTGAATGACACAAATGTTTATGTCCTGTTACTATTCTACATAGTACCTTGACAGTGCTCTGGGTTTCTGATTTCCATTTTTCAAAAATGAAACTCCTTGTGTTTTTTTTTTGTTGTATTTCAAGATGTGCTCAGTTGTTCTTTAGCTTCCCATTATTGATATAGTCCCAACAATCAGACTTGGCTACCAATTAAAATAAATGGTCAGGTCTATGGAAAATATTGATAGGCATGTAGCAGAGATTTTGGAGCACTTGTAAAAAATTAAAAATAGGTACGCACGTTGGAAAGTAAGCAGAAAAGGAAAAGCAGTTATTAATGCCGGGGAAAATGGAAGAAGTGTAATAGAAAGGAAGATTGGTTGTAATACACTATTTAAATCACCAGTGAACAATATTTTGTGTTGTAATACTGCTGCTTAAACCGGAATATGTGATGTTACTGGGATGGGGCCAGGGGAAGTTGGCAGGGGTGGGACAGCTAGGTCCTTATCTTTCAGGTGATGTGTGATGGCTGGAATACATTAAACATCAGTAGTAGCATATTATTTAGAAATATTGTAAGTGAATACAAAGAGAAAGGTAAAAGCAAAATTGAGGATGATTGCTTATGGGTGTTGGGGTAAGGAACTGCTTTTTCGTGAACTTTTTAATACTCTGACTTTTAAAGTTATATATAGTCTGGATTAGTTTGATAAAAAAGAAACTATAGAGACTAAAAGGTGTTCAAGGACACACAAGCATAAATACTCTGAGACTAATCTTCGTGGGTTTTTTTATATTGGCTAGAACACTTTCTTTACTTCTCTTTCTTAGGGCCAGAGCCACATAAGACCCTAAGTCTGCCTCATAGAATAAACACCGGTTTGGTTTATTAGTTGACCTGCAGTAGAATGTTTGGCTTTTAGAATTTGACGGATTTTTCTTAAATTTTTTTTTTTTTTACCATGTGATTTTCCTTCTGTGTAACTCATTTCCCTCTAATCTTAATATTCCCAGCTGGTTTACCACTTAGTCTCCGTGCAGCTATGCTTGATTTAATGCCCCAATTGTTAACTTTAGAACAAGAAGAATAATCACTCACGCCCCTCAAATGACTTCTCTGCAAGGTGGTAATTATCCAAGAAGGGTGTCACTATAAATAACCTGTCCCCATTCTGCCAGTGTCCGTCTTGTTTTCTGCTTTTATTTAGCCTGTATGAAAACAGTGAATGATGAAACAAGAATGGGGCTTTATTTTCCTTTAGTTATGCAAAGGTCTGGGTTGTGTCCCATCTTTATGGCTGGAGATGCTTTACTACAGCAGTCATTGTCTGCACTGCCCATCACCATCACTCTGGACACTGCCAGAGGCTTGTTAGACTCTTTACCTGCAGAATGCAGTTTGGATCAGTTTAGTACTCTTCTGGCTCTGAGCAGAGCAGCTGTTCTCTGGGTAACTGAGTCTCAGGGTAACTGTGAGAGACTTCTCTTTGACTTTCTGGCACCATCTCCCTGCACTTTCTTTCCCCAGACACATACCTGTCAGCTCAGATTCTGAAAAAAGGATTCCTTTCAAGTGTAGGTTAGGACTTCATCTTTGCTCCTTAGGTTAGTTAGAGATAATGTGGAGGCGGCTTCTGGAATGCTGAGACGTGGATATCCATTTCAAGGGCTATCAGTGACCCCAGAGCCTTGAGGTCTTCAGGGGAGAGGGAGCCTAATGCAAGAGCAGATCTCCACCAGCAAAAGGCGGAGCTGGACTTCCTTTCTCTGGTTACCTGTTCTCAGAGTAGTTAAGTTCAATGAAAAAGTAGCTCCCGTGTTCACTTTCTCCCTCCCGCTTTCCTAGGAGAAGATCAAGGTTTAGTTTCTGAGAAGAGTCAGAAGCAGTTCAGGACCAAAGTGTGCTTTGCTTGCTTTTGAATGTATGGGTTAGGGGACCCAACATTTTCAGAAAAGCAGAAAGGTTGGCCAGGAGGAAAAGAGGGAGATTGGCTTGTTTAACTGAGAAAAGTAGGGTGCCATCCTTAGGGGGAGGTCCTTCTTCAGTGGGCTGCACTTTGTGCCCCAAGAAGAGAGTGTAAGGGGTGAGGGAGGAAAGGCAGAGACCGAACGGGACTCCAGCCGGTGCCTGCACACCGAGCACACCCAGCGGGAAGGAAGAGGAAGTGTGTTCGGGAATAGCTCGAGCAGCTGCTGCCATTGGCCGGCGGGCCTGTCAGTCGCCTGGGCCTGCGGCTGAAAGAGGAAGAAGACCGGGGCTCTTGCCTGGAAGGGAGGGCGGAGGGTTGAGCCAGCCGAGCCGGGGGGCGTGGGGGCTGGGACCCGCAGGCCGATTGGCAGGGCGGGGCTGCCTTCCATCCCGGCCACCTCTCTCAATCATCCGTCTTCTGATTCAGGGTGGCGTTGTGTGTCCCGGAGGGCAAGAGCGAGTCCCAGAAGAGAGGCGAGGCTGAGCCCAGAGCGCTGGGTCGCTTCAGCAGGGAAGACTCCCTTCCCCCTGCTTCAGGCTGCTGAGCACTGAGCAGCGCTCAGAATGGAAGCCATCGCCAAATATGACTTCAAAGCCACTGCAGACGACGAGCTGAGCTTCAAAAGGGGGGACATCCTCAAGGTAAGCTGATGGCAAGCAAATGCTGAGATGGCCTCTTCTTGTACTCACCTACCTTCTATGCCCTGATAACACACAAAGAAGCCCGTGCTGCTGCTTTTTTCACTGCCCACTTTTAACATTTACCACCGTATGTGATCCAGATAGCCGAGATAGACACCAAGCAGAATATTAAATATGACTTAAGACGGTTGGTGTGATGTATGGTCTTTAACTGCCTTTGTGTGAATGCCTCGAGTATTTCTATTCGCTTGTTGGTGTTGGTACTATTTTAAGTAAAGTCAAAGCAATACACTTGTAGTAAGGAAGTATATGAGCAGAATACCTTGTAGATTTTTTGAAAGACCTAAACTTGAAGTATTTATGTTAACGCACTCAATTAGTCTTATTTGTCAAAAGATTTTTGCATTCTGGAATGTGATCCTAGTTGGTTAGAAATTAATTTCCCCTGGTTTAGGGAGGTAGTTAGAGGTATACGCCAAAACTCATTAAAGAACTCAGTGCATTTTTATTCTTTGTGACAAAAACTAATGGAGTTCTAAATAATGAGGTTCAGCTTGCTGTTGTACAAGTCAGATTCCGATTTTAGAAGAAACTTGATGAGCAGTTACCCCCTATGAAACTCTTAACTGCACAAAAGAAACCTTCTGACAGTTTAAAAATAAGCTTCTTTACAGTTTGCAGCTCATTTTGAGCCCCCCTATTTATATGAGGATTCGCTTTCCGCCTGGCACGTGCTAATGATGTTGTTGACCCAGTTGACTGAGCAGCTTGCCCTTTTGGGTATGTAATTTATTTTTATAAGGGTGGGTGTTATCCAATAGCATGTCGACTCTAAAGAGAAAACCTGAACTTTAGTGTTTTTGTATTCACTCTCTCTCAAGTTCTGGCATTTTTTTTCTCTGAGCCTTAGTCTGATTGTTGGAATTTGCCACTATTTATTTACTGCCCCTGAATGAAATTATTAGAATTATACAAAGCGGAAGAAAGTGGAAATGTAGAATGGTCCTTTATAAATAGTCCTTTATAAGAGGACTAGTTTTGGTTGTTTTTTTTAAAGTTCTGCAGACCTATGGAGAGCATTATTTTGCCCTCATTGTTGGAGGCATAGGGTTCTACTCAGAAGTTACTGCTCAGTAGTTTAATGTTAGACATGTGGATTGTACTTCATAGAAGGTGATAGTGGAGAGCCCTTTAAGGAGAAGGGAACTGGGTGTTCTCTTCAGAGCTTTTTTTGTGATGCCAAGCTTTTTGAGGGTATTCTCAAAGTCAGCACTAAATTGCCAGAAAGCAGGCAGAACCAGCTATAGGTTTCAGAGTGACATATGTTTTCTGTTTCTGTTTTCTAAGAGAGCTAGAAATCAGAGCAAACTTAACTTAGACTACTAAATTACTCTGTATCATTGGTGTACAGAGGAGGTAATTTGATATATTCATAGGTGATTACTGTTTTCAGCAGATAACCTGCTAGTGATATCATAAGATTGGCTACTCAAGTACCCATATTTGTGGCCAGTACAAAAACCCTTTGGAGCCAAGGGTTTGGTTTTGTTTTGTTTTTTTCCTTTTTAAATATAAACTTTGATTTCTCTATTAAACTTACCCTATAAACTTGAACGTGGAAGCCTGGTAGTTCATAGTTTTCTCTGTTAACCCCATTGTATCTTCAGCTCTAAAGCAATGGAACGAGGGATTTGAGGTCTCTCTTTAAGAATTTTTATACAAGAACTTTTCCCTGTTTGCTATCACTGAAGTTTTTCCTAGATCTAGACCATGAACATTTTATAAGTTCTCCAACTTAAATTGGTAACCTCTTGAACAAGTATAAAAACCCTTCTCTCCCGTCCTATAATTAGAGAAGATGATACTGTTTAACATTCCCCCAGAAATTTTTATAATGGGAGAGAAAGCGAATCAGAGTGCTCACATTTACTTTCAGATTTTCTTTGGGGACAGAAAAAAATACATTTATTTGGTTCTTTCCAATTCAGTAGATAACTGGCATATGAAGTCATAATGCCATTATTGCTTTTGAAGGGTGGCCATTAGCTGTTTGTTAGTAATCTTGTGGCTTTACTCCAAAAAAAAAAAAAAAAAGATGATACAGTAGTTGCCCTTTGTCTCATAATTCTGTGAAAAAGCTGAGTGAAGAGGAGGGACATAAGGACATTGCTTTGTCTTAAGAGCTGTTAGTAAAAAATAAAAAATGCAGTGTTTTCTTCATCTGACTATTTAAGGAGTAACAGGCTTCATTCAAGTGGCTTTGATTTGATTCGATAACTCTTTAGGACCTCAGTTATGAGCCAAAACATGCTTAGAAGTGACTGGAATAGCATTGACCAGTTTAACTTGATTGAAATGGGGATATGATTGCCCTCTCTTGATAAAGGGGGCAGTGCATGTTGGTGTTGAATACTTTTCATTTGGAGATAATGTAATACAAAGGGGCTTTGCCCTCTGCCTCTGAGTAGAGTTCAGAAGGATTACATCCTCTCACTGTCTTGGAGTTCCTGGTTAACTTTTGGCTAATGGTGACTTCTGTCCTCCAGCAGACCGCTTCCTTAACTTTCTATCTACATATTGACATATGCTGCCCTGAGAAAAGAAAAATAAAAACATTTTACTGGAAGCCTAAAATAGAACTGAATGCTTCAATATATCTGCCTTTGTTACTTTTCCTCTTGTAAAAGCTTGTGTTTTTCTTGGGGAGGGGAGGGCACTGGGGCATAGAAATGGAAGGAATCGCTCTGCTGTTGCAGGTTTCCGGCCTTGTGCGGCTGAACTGAACCTGCGTTTCTCCACCGTTGTAGGGCAGGCTTGAGATAGTCCCAGGGATTCTCCATTGGACATGGCCTCTGAGTACCCCAGAGCACATAAAACACCTGAGCCCACCTAAAAGTTGCATCTGCCGTGTAGGGGCTCATGTACACGTACTTCAAACAGTGCTGCCCAGGAATTAAGAACCGATTTGAGATCTCAGACGTGTGCTCATTCCAGTCTAGAGCCCGCTTGTTTTCTCTCAAGGCGGACCTTTGGCTCTGGAAGAGAGCTGGCAGTGCGGGTGTCGGGTGTCTTCCACTCTGTCCGGCACTAATTACCTGTACCGGTTTCACAAGCTGCCTTAGAACTAGGTCTTGGGGTCACCCTCAGATCTTTGAAGGCCCTGTTTCACTGTCACATTACTGAGCATCTCCTTGAGCCACATCCTGGGAGAAGTCGCTCTGAGAGTTGGGGAAGAAATAGAAGATGTACTTTCTTCCTTCAGGAATTCTAAAATCAAGTAAGAAAAGAGATTAATACCTGAAACAGTATGTGGCAATATGTAAAATTAGAGGAGTTTTAGAACAGGGGAAGACCTTTTAAAGTCCCTTAATTTAGACTTTTATTATTTTACAGATGAGGAAATGGAGGCCCATAGACATAGAAGTTCAGTGATCTAGTCAAGGTCACACACTATTAGTACTTAGTAGTGAACTGGTATTGAATGGAATGCCGAAGTTGGGTTACACATTGTAACTGCCAGAGTAATTTAGGAAGGGAAGAGATTGGTAAGAGCTGAAGTCAGGGAAAGCTGTGAGGAAGAAGTGTGACTGGAACCGGACCTTGAGAGGTGACTAGGATCAGAGCTGGGTGAAGAGAATGATGGTGTGTGTCTGGGAGGAGGGGGGGGGTGCTTGCATTTGCGATGCGCATGCTCGAATAAGGTTATAACCTTATTGGCATAGTGGAAAATGAAGTCAGATTGGAGCCAGGTAAGAAAACCTCTTGAGTTTGGAGTTTGATCTTGTCCTCAAGAAGCCTCTGAAGGTTTTTCAGCTGATGAGATAAATGATCTGTGCATATAATGGATTGCAAGGAGGTAAGCCTGGAGCCCCAGCCTGGAGGTTGCAGTCATCAGCTGGTGAGATAAGTGCCAGCATAGGTGTTGGAGACTAGGAATGAGGGATGGGATGGTTTGAGAGTCTGTGAAGAAAAAAATAATGGGATTTCTGCCTGTCCCCTGGGGACATTTGAACTTGTTTCCTGTGTGACTGAGAAGAGAATGCTCATTGGAGATGCTTCTGAGAGCAGGAATCTGGAGTAGAGTTTGATTGGTTACAATTTTCACAACAGCTGGATTTTGGCACAGAGTCTTCATTTCAGGTGTTTCTATTATCAAACCTAAAACATAAGAGGTTGGGATGGCTTCTTTTTTCTTCACTATTTTAAAGTCTTAGTATCGTTATACTTTATAGAGGCATTTCTCTGCCCGTTGATAAGCATTCTTGTCAATCTTGTTGACTAAACCAGGAATATTGCGTTTACTCTTAAGAATGAGGACTATTTGAGTTCTCTTATAGCAGAAAATTTGTTTGCCTTTCACTATATTCATTCCCCGCTGCCCATCTGAATGAACTGTTTCCAGATAGGTGCTGAGAATGAAATTTCAGTTCCTATGCAAGACTCCTTTGGGGAGGCTGGCTTAAGACCAGTCATCCTTGGTTGGCAAAAGAAATCAGTAAGGAAATGCAGTGTTCTTGGGATCTTTCAGGTTTCATCTCGGTAAGCCATTATAGTTGAAGTCGGCTTTGAATAGCTACCATTTACAGAGCATTTACTGTATGCCATGAAGTTATATGTCATTTCTAATTTGGGGCACTAAAAAATTGGTGTTATTAGCCCCATCTTATGGCTGCACAAACAGGCTCACAAGTTCAGTAATTTGCTCAGGTTCACGCATCTATTTTATTATAGTAAGTGGCAGAGCTGGGGTTTGCGCTCAGCTCTGGCTGTGATGCTCCCTCTGCAATACAGTAATGCCCCTCGGAACTGTCAGGATGAGTAAACCGGAAGTGTAAGGTACCTGCATCCTGCTTTGCTCACCTGCCAGGTGTGGGCAGCCGTCTTGTGCTCCTGCTGAGTGACTTACTGGAAGCCTGTCTACAGTACGTTGACTTCAGTAGTGAAGGAAATGGAACAAACAAATGAGGTCATTCTGCCTCATTTGTGACAGAGATTAACCC